GACACAATGATTTTACTTGTGTCTGATGGTGCTGACAAAAAGTAAAGACAGGCAAGAAACCTATTTTATGAAAAGATTACAAAATCAGGAGGCTGCACCAAAATATTGCTAGATTGGTGAGATCTTGTAAAATAAACAAATAAGTATAGATTTCTTATTATTACATTTTATTTCTTTTCAAAATTACAACCTGTTTTAGGAGTTAGTGAGTATGAAGACATATCAGACTGCAGCTAAAAACAAAAAAGCTTTACCTGCTTTATAATTCTTTATTTCAGATGTTTTTAAGCTTCACTTAAGCTTCAAACTGCAGAAAAACGTCTGTTTGGTTTCCTGTGACTCCTTCCAAAAAGATTACCCATGAAACCTCTTTGTTCAGAGTAACTGCAGAATAACGGCTGAAGCTGCAGCATGGTAGTAGGCTATGGCTTTCAAATGGCACTAGCAGCTAATATTTAGGCTACAGATTAAATTGTAGTGCAGCCAGCCCCGTCTCATCCCACCGTGCAGACACTGAGCTGACAGACAGCAGTGTCTGTTGTGTAAATTGCTAATATGTTTAATAATAAATAGTTACACACAGTATGTCCTGCCCACAGTAAGATGTGACTGATGTAATGTTACAACCACAGATGATCTTCATCAGGTAAACGTGAAGAAGTGAACACACCTGTATTTAAAAAAATTATGAAACATCACAGCATTATCTCCTAATCTAATTTGTTTGTCAAATCATAATTAAATATTGGAGACAACAAGAAAATATTTTTTTTACTTATTGGAGTACTAACAGACTATAATATTAATCCAGTACTTTGTAATCACACTTGATGAATACACAGTGGGAATATTGTCCTGGTGTAAATGTGGCAGGTTGTCTAATCAGGAGATGATCAGAATCAGAATCAGTTTTATTGCCAGGTATCTGTACACATATGAGGAATTTGACTCAGGATTGTACATTGCTCACGATGTGCTTACTTATACAATAATAATACAATAACAAAATAAAATCAGACACAAACTACAGAATAGACATCACTAATATACACACTATGAACAAAACAATATAGACATATTGACAAATAGTGCAGTGATCAGAGTGCAAAGGATGCAAGAGTAAACTATTATTCTCATTGTGTACATGTTGATGGTGGATATGATATACAGGTGCACATACACATACATGTACACATGTACACAGTGTGATGGAGCATAGTGCATGATGACTTGTCGTTTCATCACAAATAAATAAAGGGTGTGTTCACTTTTTTCACTTAATGAATTATGACCGATGACTTCTACGATGCGGTAAACGTGGGCAACATCACGGACTTTGACAATAAAAATGGAATCAACTGTTAATCACGGAAAGCAGCCAAAATGTGACTGCAATTTATAAAAAGCAATGTTTCCACAGTAGGCTGTTATAAGTGTCTTTATTTTACAGCACTTAAGCCAAACGAGCAGACAAACTATAGGACTGCTGCTATGTTTTGTTTTATTCTGCTTGTCATTTATGAGGACTGTTTTAAAAAGTTACAACAAACTTAATGTATTCCAGTGTTTCAGTGTTTTTCTTCAAATGTAAAACTGCAGGGTTTTAGGCCTGACAATTGCATTAGAATGTTGATTAAACCATTGTTTGCAACCTCTTTGTAATGTGAAGCCATCTAGTCCTTCAGCAACCCCCACCCTTGTTCTTCCCGCCCCACATGTCGTCAGTCTCACGATCACCAGCAATTCACCTTAACTGCGCCGTTCCCCCCGTCCACACACTTCAGCCTTGCAGCCTTGCAGCTCAGCTAAGTATCACAACCTCGCGCTTCTCTTTTGCCATCTATTAACACCACACAACAGTCCTGGGGAGCTCCTTACACCCCACGGTATAATCCAGTTAGGAATCCCTCCCCTCCAAGTTATAGGGAGCTTACAGTCGCAGCATTTACCTTCGTTGTTCACATGATACAACACGCTCAGTCTTTCCAAACTGCAGGGACGAGTACGACGACCACCATTGGATTTGGCTCTGCGGTTCAGTGGCATCAGGTTCACATATCACGTCCTCTTGCTTTCCAGGCCACATGCCGTAGTGCAAAACTCCGAACCCCGCATATAGGTATTCTCATCCTCACCCACACAACCTGCCCATCTTTCCAAGGCTACGCCCTGCCGTGGCTCCACCTCCCATCATCCCCAAACCACCAACCCTTCTATCAGAAAACATTGCACAATCAGCCCACGGGCCGATTGCTCAGGAAGTCAACCAAGGGAAGGCCCATACCATACCAAGGCGGAGGGGTGGTTGCACATAACTTCATGAATTACGCCGCAAGGTTCACGTCGCCATTTCCTCACATTTCTTTCGTGGGGGTGCCGCCCCCAGGACCTGCCGCCCCCAAGACCCTACCCAGCAGGGTTTCTGGCCGCACAGATACCTCAGACTATGATTTTATCCACGACTTAAATACACTGCGAAGACATTTAAACCACCAGTACGTTCATCTCCACTTCTGGTCCAGCTAGACATCGAGGTTTTCCCAGATCAGAAAGAGCTTATTGTAGTAGTGTCTTACACACACGAGGAATTTGCTTGGTGCCACATGTAGACAACCATACAGTTGACATAAATAAATGTACAGGTAGGTATGGAGTGGACAATGCAAGTTATGCGGGAAAATAAGAACAGAGAAAAGTTATACAACTATTTGTGGAGAAACGACAGATCTAACAGATATCTACATGTGCATTACTCTGGGTTGTGTCATCCAGATGTATCGCAACGGAAGAAAATATTGTGTAAATAAATACATAAGTTGACACAAAAAATAGAATGATTGACAATTGACAACAATATGCGCAATCCATCATAACCTCCAGTCCATCCAGGCCAAGCCCATACAGCAGCTAAGATCCTAGCTAAGAAGTCGATAACTGCTCATTAACATCCACCAGCCTTCCTCCCCTTTCCCAATCCACCGCACCAGCCATATCACCACCAAGACTTACAACGGCAAGACTCATCTCTCTTTCCACCACGCCAAGCACCAAAAGCCTCATCCTCAGTCCCGAATTCCAAGCTCCATGTAACCCACCCGCGTGACACCAACCTCAACCATTTCGCCGGCAAACGCGACGTTGGTCCAGTCTGCCATTACCAGCACTTCCCAGCACTTCCCAGGTGTTGTCCATACACCTGGATTTCTTTCGTTGAGAACTTTTCGGAACAGTCTGTTTTCACACAGTCTGCCCAACGTTCAGGTTGCAGAGCAGCCGCAAGGTATTTTATCCACTTCCCTCCCAAGCTCACATTCCAAACTATCCCCCTGTGTCATACCAAGCACCTATCTCTCTCTCTTCATTGGACACCCAAACTCCCCCATCCACATCATCCCACAAGGCCGATCCTTTCTTTCCCACTTACTGCAAATATCCACCGCAGCGCAGTCTCTCCACGATCACACGGTACCCAACAACACTGGTAAAATGAGCAAGGTTGTGACGCAACTTCCTTTCTTCTTGGAAAGTCATCCGACAACCACATAGCCCAAACCAAAGACACCACCTTACACAAATGCAGAACTCTCACAGGTTTTGTCGGCCACAGAGGCAGATGGTTGGCATCCGAGCAACCGCCAGACCCGTCCTCAACACCCCCACCCCGCCTCCTTCGCCCTTACGAACCGTACCCGATTATCACCGCTGCCATTCTTTCGGGGCACGAGGTCCAAGTCATTCTGGTACACACAGACAACCACACTGCTATTGACATCATGAAACAGGCTCGCTCCTAATCACTCAACACCACCAAACCCTTAACAAAACCCCCTTCATCCTGAATACTTCTCATTATCCAAATAAACTATCTTGTTCTACCTCAAATTGGCATGGACCTTGTTAGTGACCACCAAGTAGAGCATGTTTTGTGCACAATAATAACTGAAGAAACCCACAAAAATTAAACTGCAGTTTTTTCCAACTGGAATTAATATTATAGGCTACTAATGGTAAGCTATAGTAGCCTTTACTATTATCTGAAATTATAATACATTTAAAAACATTCGCACTAATCAAACCTTAACCCAAGTGGTGCAGGCTAATAAGAAAATGTTTTTATTAGTGAAACAGCTGAATCTCTCTCTCTCTGAATAAACTATCTGTAAGCAAATTATCCAAATAAAGTGTGCCCTGCAAATATAGTATCATACTAGCAATATTTTTATCAAATGTTATAATATTTATTAATACACTCAAAATACCAGGATGTGGATATATTTTGTTTATGAAATGGTCAGAAATACTAAGAAAATGCATATTTTTATTAAAATATTCCGTTCCTGCTGGAGGCTGAGAGCTGCTTCCTCTTTCTGCATTCTGTTTTCACAGGATCTCGTTAACTTCCTCTGGTCTTGTTCTGTGGCGTCTCTGTGACAACCAGCAAACATGACAGAAGAAGAAGTACATGCAACTCTTTTTCTCCACCAAACCACACTGACTCTGTTCACACAAACTGCACTGCAAGATATGAACACGACTCTGAGAGAAAACCAGTCAGCAGGCAGGAGGTGACATTTCAGACAAGGTGTTTAAATAATAAATAAATGATGAGATGAATTTCTACACTTCGATAGAGAAACAAAGAAAAAGAAGTTTTCCTGAAACAGTTGGATCAGAATATCCTGATCCAGCAGTTATTGATCAGGAGGAGGAGGAAACATAATCAAAGATGGCTCCTCTGAGAGACAAGATCCTAAATGACAGTCGAGTGGAGACTCTGCTCAGGAGACAATCTCTGACTGAAGGAACAGGAAGGTTTTTATCTGGGATTGAGGATATAAAAGGAGTTCACATGCAGCTGCTTTGTAGAGACAGAGCTCTGTGATCATCAGAGTGACCATTAATTCAGTGAAACTTTATTGCTCACAGAATTTGGTATAAAAAAATGACATTTACATTGTTAATTAAAAAATACATTGAAATAAAAACATGTACTGAGTATTAACAGGCTACTCTGCAGATTAATATTTTACAGCTACAACATGAAGCATTGATATAAAATAAACTGTCAACATTATGTAAATAAGATACACTTACCTAAGACTTGTGTACTTTGACTTTAGTAACATTTTGAAAGCAGTTTTAATTTGCTAATATTGTGTTTTAAAAGCCAGATTAAATTTTAAGACTCCATGGTCCGTGCACAAAGTATAATTATTCTGCAGTTGTTCACATTGTTTGATGAAAAATTTTAGTTTAGGGGGTATTTCGCACACCACCTGTCTGTGAAACATCTTCCTCCTTGTCTCCAGCTGTGTGACCTGCAGAGCAGAAACAGGCTAAACGGTTAAATCAGCAAGTCAACCCAGGGTTTCCCAATCCAGTCCAGAGCACGTTCACAAAAAAAGAGGCGATGTTAGCAGCAGCTGACCAATCACAGACATGAACAAGTTCACTGGCAGCGGAGCGTCAAATTTTACATTTAGCTGACGCTTTTATCCAAAGCGACTTACAATTGCTATACATGTCAGAGGTCGCACGCCTCTGGAGCAACTAGGGGTTAAGTGTCTTGGTGGATGGATCACAGTGGGAATCGAACCCAGGTCTCCCACACCAAAGGCAAGCATCTTATCGCCTTCACCACCCCCTTTTGCAAAAAAAGAGCACTGAAAGCCAACAGCAGGACGAGGCGCCGATCGTCTTTTCCACGCTGGGCGCTGAGCGTTTTTTTCTGGTCGTCGAGAGTTGAAAAATGTTAAATTTTGGGAATAAACGCTGCACTCGTCACTGTCACTTTTTACCCAGCTGTCCAATCACAGTAGAGGAGGCAAATAACACACCGTAGCAACGGTTACTATCCTGGAACGGGACTTCATCGAGCCTCAGCTATTGGTTTAAACAGTGGCCGTTCAGCGTAAGTTACCGTGACGATCTACCCCGGTAAGTGAACCACCGTCGTGGTACTGAAAACCCTGGTTTAACCCTGAAGTTACCTGGATAAGCTCAAATCCTGCTTCATGGTACAGGCCTGAGAGACAAAGAGACACTCTGAGCTCTACACACTCACCTGGATCTGTCAGACTGATGATGATGATGATGGGTTTAGGGCGTCTTCTGCACTCTCTGAGTCAGGAGTTGTTTCTGGTCTGTGTCTCCTTTGAATCATTTGATTGACCATAAAACCACCAACAGCAACAAGAAGAAGAGAAAGCAAACAAACAACTCCAACGTATCCCTCCCAGATGTTTCCAGCTGTGTGACCTGCAGAGCAGAAACAGGTGTGAGGTATCAGCTGTCAGCAGGTGAACAGAATGTCAGACATTATCTACTGCACTTTGATCACATGACTCGTAGCAGCTGTTTCCTCTAAAGTCTCATCAGCAACATCTTTCTAAAACACAAACATCTGATCTGTGATGTTTCTCAGCTCAAATACCAGGAAGCAGCTTCACCTGAGAGACAAGAGACACTCTGAGCTCTACACGCTCACCTGAGAGACAAAGAGACACTCTGAGCTCTACACGCTGACCTGAGAGACAAAGAGACACTCTGAGCTCTACACGCTGACCTGAGAGACAAAGAGACACTCTGAGCTCTACACGCTGACCTGAGAGACAAAGAGACACTCTGAGCTCTACACGCTCACCTGTCACTGTCAGCCTGATGATGCTGATGGACTCAAATACGTCTCTCTTTCTGCCTCTCGAGTTTTTCCCTACAATCAAACACTCATATGTTCCAGTGTCCTTGATGTTGACGTTCTTCAGAATCACAGAAACGTCTCCGTTCTTCATCTCTGGATCTTGAAGCTCCACTCGACCATAAATATGGGTGCTGGATTTCTTCATATGAGCGGCCGTTACTGAATAAGAAGACAAAACCATCATCTGGCTTCAGGTCAGTTCTGCTCCACTTTATCACTACTATGTCAGCACCTCCGTGACTCTGACACTGAAGAGTGGCATTCTCTCCAGGCTTCACCTTCACCTCCTGTGTCTCTGAACAGAAAGAGAAAAGCCTCCAGTCAGGACTTGTAATGTTTCCTTTTGTTCAAACATCTTTTGATGGAAGCAGCAGAGATCAGGTCTCTATAAAACAGCACATGTGAACTCAGCAGCATTTCAAACCCTGTTCTCAGACAACTTGAGTCCCAGCTGCAGAAAGGAGAGACTAACTCCTCTGCTGCAGCTGCACGCTGACTTCATGTTGCTCATTTCTACAGCTGTCAGTCAAGTCGTCCTCCGCACCATCAGACAGGAGACATTTTACTTTCATCTGCTTTCTGCTTGGGACTGTCGAGGAAATTTGTATATTGCTGGAGAGAGATGAAGCAAAAAACTGAGTAACAACAAATTGAGAAGTTATTAATAAAAAGAGAATAAACAGAGGGGCCAGACCCACAGTCGCCATATGGCGGGGCAAGGGTGAAGAACCCGGCCCTGCGCCTGGGACAGCAGGTCTCTTCTCAGAGGGACCCAACATGGCGGGCCGTCCAGGAGCGACATGATGTCCGAGAACCACACCCGGGTTGGCCAGAACGGGGCTACGAGCAGTAGGCCGACATTGTCCTGGCGGACCCACTCCAGAACCCCGGGAGCAGAGCGACTGGGGAAAAAGCGTACAAATGTAGCCTCGGCCACGAATGTACCATGGCGTCCAGACCCAACGGGGCTGGAGGAACGAGAGAAACCATAGCGGGCAGTGCGTAGTCTCTTGAGACGCAAACAGATCCACATCTATGGGGCCGAACTCTTCGCACAAGAGCTCCACCACTTCGGGGTGAAGTCTCCATTCCCCAAGCCTCAGCCCCTGCCTCGACAGCAGGTCTGCTCCCTGATTCTGCGTCCCCGGGAGATACATCGCCCTGAGCGATAGTAACATCTGCTGGGACCACAGGAGGATCTGACGCACCAGTCTGTCCAGAGGGCGCGAGCGCAGACTGCCCTGGTGATTCAGATAGGCCACCACCGCTGTGTTGTTCTCTTCGGAACGAACCAGGACGTGGTGGCCTTGGAGATCGGGCAGGAAACTCCTTAGAGCCTGGAACACCGCCAACATCTCGAGACAGTTGATATGCCACTCGGATTGATGCACCTGCCAGGATCCCCTTGCAAAGCGGCCGTCCTTGACCGCGCCCCAGCCCGTGAGGGAGGCGTCTGTTGAAATAACCAGCCGGCGACAAGACCCTCCCAGCACGGGCCCCTGGGACAGGAACCAAGTTTCCTTCCAAAATGATAGGGAACGAAGACACTTGTGCGTAACCCAAATCAGACGGAGAGGATTTCCCCTCGGGGAAAAACCCTTGTTCCTTAGCCACCACTGGTTGAAAGTGTTTCATAGTGATGGCGTGGCCTAACTTCACCCCTTTCACGGCAGCCAATATGGTGTCGACACGTGCCGGAGACAATTGTGCCCGCATCGTTGTCGAATCCCATACAACCCCTAGGAACGTAGTGCGTTGGGTGGACGCCAGCACGCTCTTCTTTGCGTTGAGCCAGAACGACATCTCGATGCCGAACCGCCAACTCTCGAGACTGGGCTAGGATGAGCCAGTCATCGATGAAGTTGAAATCCGGATGCCCTGGAGCCTCAGCGGGGCCAGTGCTGCATCCATACACTTGGTGAATGTGCGAGGGGAAGTGCCAGGCCGAATGGAAGAACCCGATACTGGTAAGCCACACCCCCGAAGGCAAACCTCAGGAACTTCCTGTGAGAAGGACGGATGGAGACCTGGAAATAGGCGTCTTTTAGATCTATCGTGACGAACCAATCCTCAGATTGGATGTGCGTCATGACGGCGGGGATGATGAGCATCTTGAACCTGAATCTCCTCAGAGACCGGTTAGAACCCGCAGATCCAAAATAGGGCACGCAGCCCTCCGTCCTTCTTGGGGACTATGAAGTACCGGCTGTAGAACCGGCGTCTCTGTCTGGGGGGGAGACACGTTCCACGGCCCCTTTCCTCAGCAGAGTACGAACTTCCTTTCCCAACACCGGACCTTGCTCCAGGCAGACCACAGTCCAAACCACCCCCTCTCTTCTGTTGAATTTGGAGGGCGGGTTTTGAACTGTAGTCGATACCCATCTATGGCAGTGCGCAGGACCCACGGAGAAATGTTCGTCAGGCTCCGCCAAGCCTCTGCAAAGTCTGCCAACGGAACCAGCCCCTCGGGGCTGGTGGTCGGTGTCTCGTGTGGTCTTCTGGTGGACCCCTGAAGCCCCAGAACGGCAGGGGGGAGCCGCCAAAGATCCACGGTGAGTGAGTCGGGACACCGCCTGACCGCAGACCCTCGGGGCAGGCAGTACGGCGTGGACTCGATGGTGGCAGGTGCGTCCTGAACGTGTGAACGGCGGGATAACATCACCTGTTGCCACGGCGGAGGGGACCTCGGTCGGCCTCCGGGGGGGTGGGGGGGTGCGGGAGGGGAGAAAGACTCCCCTACCCCGGTCTTCCCTGAGCTCCGTCGGGACTGGATGACGGTCCTCAGATCGCGTCTCTCAGACGGCTGAGGGTGAGAGCGCCGTCTCGCTGCCCCAGCTCCTCAGGGGGGCCCCAGAGAAGCGACACTCTGCTTCCTCTCCTCTCCGTAGGAGCTCGTAGAGGGAAGGGACCTACGCCTGGCAGCCTCAGCTGCCTTGGGTCCAGACCGGTGAGGGAGGTACTGGCGGAACGCTTCGCCCTGCGTCTAACGCTTCGTGGTTCTGCGAAGCTCCGCCAGATCTTCCTCAGAGGGACCCCCCCTCTGAACCATCTCCTGTAGCAGGTCGGCTTGGTAGGCTTGAAGCACCGCCATGGTGTGCAAGCTCGCACCTGCCTGGCCCGCTGCCATGTATGCCTTCCCCACGAGCGTGGATGTGGTGCGACATGGTTTGGATGGTAACGCCGGCTTCTCCAGGGAGGACGCAAGTCGAGGGGAGAGATAGCTCGCAAGCGCATCCTTCACCCGAGGCATCCTCCCATAACCACGGTCCCTAACCCCCATCACATTACTGTAGTTCAGTGATCGGGGTGTGGAAAGCCATGTAGAGAAGGGTCTGCCCCATGATTACTCAGTTCATCATGTAAATCAGGAAAGAATGGCAGAGACCGGCGTGGAGGTGGCGTGTGGTGCTTAAGAAACCTTTCATCAAGCTACCACTAGCCTGTGGTGTCTGCTCCTCCTGTGGCCAGTTGATGTTGAGCTTAGCCACGGCTCTAGTCACCACCTCGAGCGAGCGGGAGAAGCCGAGAACGGGCTCCCGAACGAGGAAAGGAAGCGTCGTAGCCAGCGGATGAAGGTCGGGAAAAAGCCTCAGCCGTCCCGAAATCCTCCGACAGATCACGCTGTGAACCCATGAGTGAAGCCGCCGGGCCGCCTCAGCGGCCGCAGGGCCCACGCCACGGGGGGGGAACACATCCGGCCATCCTCGGAAAAGAGAGCCATGCTGTACCTCAGTACCCGCACAGAAAGGGCTTCGCAACGGGCACAGGCAGCCCCCTCGAGAGCTGCCCGGGCGTGCTCCATCCCCAAACATGAGACACACATCTCATGAGAATCTCCATCCGTGATGTACCGAGGGCAAGAAAAAAAAACACACCTTCTGTACATCTGGTTGCCGGTCATGCTGGTAGACTTCTTCTTCAGGTAAGACATACTGCTCGTAGGACTGGAGCTTTCTTCAAACAACATACAAAGCGCCTGCTGAATAGAAAAAAGCTAATGATGAGTGTGTACAGGTGTGCTTTATACTCCTCCGGCTATTCCGTCACACCTTACCGTTCTAGCAACAAGCCAATAGGATTGGAGTGATTTCATTCACGTTCAGACCTGCTTCGCCGAGTTCCCTCGAAGGGGAACTGTAGATACAGAGATCTTCTTCAGACAGAAACTGTTTTGCAGCATGGCACGATAGTTCAGAAACTGAAACATGAAAATGCACATTCTGTAAATATGGTGAATAAAAAGAGTTTTTCTGTGTCTTTAAATACATAGAAAATATTTGGTTTGCAAAAAAAACCATTAATATTGTTATAAGTTTGGTTTGGAAGAAAAACCTGCTACTTTTTCATTTGCACACATCCCCTAAAGCTTGGTATGTAGTTTAAAGGTATTATTCAGACCTATTTTATTTCAGCTCCTTGAACATTTGGTGAAAGTAGAGTCACAACACTTCATACATGTATTATGAATTCTCTACTGACCCTAAGACTTTGGTAAAGCCATTTCAAGGACCAAAAGAATTTGTCCTCATGAGTAATGTTTTCACAAGAGATTTGAAGGATTTCAAAAATCGGACTTACATTTTTCACCTTTAGAGAAAATGTTCTCTCTTTAAAACAAAGCTCTGGGTCAAGTGTTGAGCTCATTATACAGACAGCACACTTTGATATAAAACACATTGTATGAATAATGAAAATGCACTTAAACCTCAAACAGGAGGTTTTACACATTTCTCAAAGATCATTGAACAGAAGATAATTGCATAATAACCCATAATTAATCAATCATCTACCTGCTCATCACTTTTCCTTTCAAACCATTATTTTCTGATACCTGTCAATTTCTAGATTTTGTTTAAAATAATAAAATAATGGGAAATATCTTTATCTTGTTAAATACATCTTTATGTGAAGAAATGAAGTGTGTGTTGTATTTTAAAGAAGGATGGTTCACCATTTTGTTGTAGATTACACAAAATATGTGTTTTTGGTCATTTAGGTAATTAGATATTTGTTTAAAGTTACTTGATATTATTTATTAGCCGTTGTTATGAGAGCTTAGTTTATTATCAGATCAACAAATGTCAACGGGCTAGACTTTTAATGAAGATGTTA